AGTTCATCTTCAACCATAAGGAGATTGCCTTGGACTCGCCGAGTCCGTTCTAGCACTCGTCGAGTCCCATGAACTCCAGGTCTAAAACTAAGTCCAATGTGTTGGGTCACTCTTTCTGTCCTGCTACAACCCTTCTAACACCCAACTGAGTTCTTTGGCCCTCAGCAGATATGGGACTCAAAGCCTTGGACTCGTCGAGTCCCAAGAACGGACTCGCCGAGTCGATGACATCCACACCCTAAATCCTCGATTTCTGATGTACAACACTTGACCAAAAGGTAGATCTAAGCTCCTTCAATCGTTCTAGCACGTAAAGTTACAAACTTTGCGTGCATGCATGGGACTTTGAGCTCAAAAGGACATAAAATAAGCTCTTATGATGCATGAGACCTTTCTTGGGTGCAAAAGCAACCCAAATCTGCCTTGTGACTCTTCCCAAGTGCAAGATCCGAAGTCTTGACCCCCAACCATGTTTGCAATCATGGTTGGTTACCAAAATGGCTTATAAAAGCCCTAAATCTCCCCAAAAAGGGATCTAACAAATGAAAGAGCAAGGTACAGACTTTATACCTTTCAAAGACTGCAAATGATGAACCAACTCGAATCCTTCAGTATCCTCTTGATCCTTCTATGCTCTTCCTTCTTCCTTGTGAACAAAACCACCAAAAATCATTCAAAAGCTTTAAATCTTGCACCAAAACACTTAGGGTTTGCTATAGAGGGTTTCTGGGAGCATAAAGGGGCGATGGAGGCTGTATAAGTTTGTTTAAATAGGGTGCAAACCCTCAGATTAGGGTTTTGTCCATACAGAGCCTACTCGTCGAGTCCGGGACCTGACTCGACGAGTCCATCACTTAAATCCCGCGTCTCATCCCGCTTCTACTCGGCGAGTTGGTCCTTCAACTCGCCGAGTCCAAGGTCAAAAATGCAAAAATACTTAAGTAAAATACATACCAGGAACCAGGTGCTACAGTAACAATTGGGGATTTTTGTTAAATGTGTTAATGACTTTTATGTGAAATTAAAATGAAAAATTTGTTTGAAAATTTACGGTGTTACAATGACACACGCCTCTCCACTTACAAGAATGAAACAAGTAAGCATCAAACATTTAAGTAAGGTTTTAGAGTTATTTCAATTATGCATCATTTTCTTGAAAACTAGAAATTAACAATTCGGTTGGTTTGATTACGGTGAGCACTTAGTTATTGCTTAGTTATTATTTATTTTTATTAAAACCAAGTTTTTTGTTGAAACTTGAAATCAGTTATTACTTATTAGTTCGAAAGTTATAACAATTTGTTGAAATCATTCATTGTAATGTAGGTTAACATTGATAATTTTTATAAAAGAAAGTTAGATGTTGTTAGTGATATTGATGTAAATTCACCATACTTATAAGCCTTTTGACCTCTTAGTTCATTTTCTGTTATATGTTTCTCTACAACGGTTAAAATATCATATGGTTTACGGAAAATGTCTTTTTTTCACGATAAATATCATATTTTAACTTATTGTTTTCTATAAAATGGTCTGATGAAATGCTTATAAACATAAGCATCTATATTGAAATAAGGCATTACTAACCAACATGTGGCAAATAACTTAACATATGTCCAGATTGGAACCTGGATCATGAACATACTTGCCAATTTACTCTAAATGTTTACAATTTATTAGACAATACCAAGTGTAAGATTCAACTACTGAAAACATTTTAGTGAGTTTAATAATTACCATTCAAGAGGATTTGAAAATGTAAATGCAAAAAAGAGTGATTAATTCGTAGAGAACCCAATAAGTTAGCCATTGGTGGCTATCTGTTTGAGACTTCGTCACTATAGCTTTGATTGAAGCATATATGGTCAATAACAAAACACAACTAGTATATATAGATAACTCATTACCTTTTGGTTGACATTGGAAGAAGATATATATGTCCCCTCAAAGCTAATATATGTAGTCACTCTAAATTGCAATATAAATACTAACTATTTGAACTTATGTTATTACAAGGAACATTCTTGGTTTAAATTTCTCATAAAGTTAAATTTTTCATAAAAAATGCAAAAAATTTTGAAGTCGTTTAAACCGGTTTAGAAAAAAAACCATGTTACATATTACGTGATAAAAAAATTGGGCTACCTCTCAACTTTTTTCTGGTCCACCACTGACCTAAAGTAACCCATATTGTTAGATCGACTTTTTTTTTCTTCCTCCTTCCTTCGCTTAATTTCTTTCAATATGGTTTAAGGCAAATCTATGTTGGTCTATATTCTTACTTTACCTAATTGAAGATGTAACGTCCCGATTTTTAACCCAAAATTTTCATTTTTATTTATTCAAATATATCATAGTATAATTACATTATGCAAAATATTGAAGCGAATGCTCGTATGTACAGTCGAGTCTTATCCTTCTTACGAATCAATGAAGTTGTTGAAAAACATTTATAAACAACTCGGTACGCACAAAGTTTAATGAGTTCCCCAAGATATCATATATCATGATACATATACATGCATACAAAGGGGCCCGCCCCAAACTATATAATGGGTCTCGTCCGAACTACCTAATGGGCCCCACCCAACATACATATGGGCTCCACCCAAACTACATGACGGGCCCCGCCCAACATACAAAACCATACACACAGACTACATGAATATATATATATATATATATATATATATATATATATATATATATATATATATATATATATATATCAAGGTTGCAGAAAACGCTCGACGTAGGCTAGGCGGTGGACTGGGGTCAAGGGATTAATCGGCTAGGCGGGGATTAATCGGGGACCATTAATTATTAAAAAATTAATAAATATAACATTAATCCAAAGAATATAACATTAAATGTTCATACTAGTAAGACATACTAAAATTGAAAACAAAAGAAGAACTAAATTTGATGGTTAAACACAATCACAAGTTAGAATGTTCATAATCAGTCAACAAGATTCAATTTGGTAAGAAATTGTTGGTTAAACAAATAACCTCTCCTATCAACATCCATGTTCAATAAACTCCAGCAAAAAGTATGGTTCAAATAACCCCTGTTCTTAAGCCAAGAACAACAATGAACTCTTTGAGGATTTTCATCAAACAACTTGTGTGTGCTTTTCATGCTTCTTCTTCGTTTTTCATTCAAACCAACATCACCACCATTTCTTCCCTTCATGTTACAACCAATACATGAATCTAAGCCTCGAACCAGAAAAAGATGAAGAAAGAAAAAACACAGAAGGATATATGATCTCATTGCTTTATGAGGTTGTCGATTAAAAGAAACAAAAAGAAAGAAATCAGATTTCTTGGTTTTCGGCTACCTCAGAAAATAAGAGGCTGTCACGACCTTTCCCTTCGCAGACCCATCTACCTGCCCAACCTGATTCAACCGAGCTTACAACCTATTGTGGTTATTTATCGTCTTCAAAAAGGAAACCTGCAAGAATAAGGATCATGGCAATGGCTTTCCCGTCTTCCTGCTGCAACAAAGAGAACAACCCAACCTCCTTATTCCTTTTTTTCTATTTCTTGGTTTGTGTGGTTTTAAGGAGGTTGGTCCTATGGAAGTGTTCAGGCGATGGATTTCTAGTTGTTTTGAGGTGGTTCGGTCAGACTATGGTGAGGATGGTCTACGGTGGTGATGACGGATGAAGGCGGTGGTGTTGATTGCTCTGCTGTGAAGGTGAACCACTACCAGTGATGGTGGTTGGAAATTGGTGATAATCGACTAAGTAGGTGTGGTTCTTGGTTGTAGCAGGAGAAGTTTACACAAAAAGATTGTATTGATCGTATCCCACATCGATGGTGGGAAAATAAAAGAAGGCACAAATAATTTATAAAGGGGCATCTATCTCCTTTAAAAATAAAAACAACTGAGCTTTGGGCTAGTTGGCTCCATTGGGCCAGCGAGTTCTTTAGTGTGGGCTGGAGTTGTTGGACCGATTTGAAGTCTGAGTTAGACGATTATGTCCGATTTGGACCGATTTGGTCCGACTTTGACCGACATTGACCAAAAACGCCTAGCCAACCCTCAAACACTTATTCGTAGGCGGTTGGGGACCGCCAAGCGTCTAGGCGTCGATTAATCGGCCGCCTAGACCGATTTTTACAACATTGATATATATATATATATATATATATATATATATATATATATATTAATATATATAGATATATACTATCTTATTATACAAACCTTACTATTTCTAAAAATAGATTTAAGCAAGGTTGTAAAAATCATTCGGCGGTCGACTCGCGATAAGCGATTAATCAGAATCGGCGGGGATTAATCGGCGATTAATCGGAGACCCTAAATTGTTAATAAAATTATTTAAAATATTAATATTTCCTAAAAAATTAAGTATTTGGAAATTTTAAAATTTTAAAATTTTAAATATTTTAAAGTTAATAAAATTATTTTAATTTTTTAATTTCCCGCCTATGACCGCCGAGGACCGCCAAGGCCGCCAAGGACCGCCAAGCCCGAGTTGACCGATTTTTGACCAGTTTCCGCCAGCACCCTTATCGTAATCGGTTCGAGGCCGCCAAACGATTAATCGCCGATTAATCGGCCGCCAAGGCCGATTTCTGCAACACTGGATTTAAGACGTCCAAACATTTAAGCTGAATGTACAAACATTTATCAACAAATTACAAAATACAATGCATTAAGTACAAATGTAAAATTAATATTGAAAATTTCAAACCTAGATCCTTATCTTACCCAATATAGAGGATTTAAATTTTAAAAAAATCATATTTTTTGGTTAAAAGTTGAATTTTAAGAGGTACAAATGAAATTGCAATACATAAAATCATTTTATGCATTACCTAATCATACTTTTGGTCAATAAGTAAAAAACTCAAGATAAGAATTATAGTATCATTCAATACCGATTCTTACCAACATTTAAGGAGTTATAATTATATTCAAACTTGAATCCCAGTTATCTCGGCCCCGTCTTCTTAAATTCATTGATGGTTTCCAGTCACATACAGTTTTATTTTTTAAGATCCACGATCAATGGATGTAAACTACACGGTGGTACCAGAACAAATACATTGCTCTCTAATCGTCCTCAAAAACCCATTGAGATGCATTTGAAAGCCATCCCACCATTGCCATCATCAGAGCTTTCTTCTCCAGATCCTACCGATGTTGATCTACCGGTCACAACTACTTCAAACGTTTCCGCCATAACATCACCAATCCCCAACATCGAAACACTAGCACAACATCGTTCTCGTATCTAACGACTCTGCTACTTCCCTTTTCATCGGCATCACAGAGGTTCATTTTTGTTCTCTCCCTCTCTCTGTCACCCTCCCCCCCCCCTCTCTCTCTCTCTCTCGGCCTTACTTAAGAAGATCTGGACCGATCTATAAAAATTATTTCATCTTTCTGTTTATGATAATCAGCCATGGCTACAAAACATGTTAATCCTTTGTTATTTTACAGATTTATAAGATTTTGTTTTGCGTTCCTCTATGGCCCAATTTCGGGTATGATTTTTGTTTTGTGTTCGTTACTCTCTACTTCTAAATCTCCCCAATTGCGCACATACACTATTTGTTCTTGATTTGGTTAACTGTATACTTTTCCCTTCTCATATCTGTTTAACCTAACCACACTCCCACCAAATTTGGATGACCAAAAACAGGGCCAAGTTTTTTTTTATATTTTGTTCATTCTTTTCTTTTTCCAGTAAGGCTCTTAATTGTCAATTGCTTAGTAATATGTTAGATTATTTTATTTGTTAAACTTATTTGGTCAATTTATTTGTAAAAATTGTTAATATTACAATCACTGGTAACCTTCGATTGGCCAATTTGATTAATAAACAAATGAAGTTTATCACAAAAAAATATTTGAAATTTGCAGGGAATTTTCTCAAATGTCTGTGTGTTACTATGTTGCACGCCATGTGCCTGTATAAATGCTTCTTAATCTGAAACCTATTTACAAGCTGCAAATTCACTTAGCCTCTCGAATTCATTTTGCAGGTCTGTTTAACTCTTAGAAGTTCTGTTGGCAGGATGGTTCATAAGCAGGTCAAGAATGGTTCTTTTTTTAGAAATATGAACCTCATAGTATACGTAATCCATGAAATCAGGTAAGCTTTCAATGGATTTCTTATATTTTATTCCGTGGTAGTGTAGGTTTCAATGAAAAACATGGTCCTTTGTCTATATCAGCTTCCTTCCATCTTCACCCCCAATCAGAGTTTGGTTTGGTAGCTGCTTTTTGTTTTTTTCATAGTTTCAACGGAAATAAGTGATGGTTAAGCAACAACAATATTTGCAAATTATAAAACAAAACAAGAGAATGGAATGAAGATGAAAATGGATATTTTTTAAATTGAATCATTTGAGATTTGTCTATTATTTATTTGGGTTTTAGTTCTGATGTTTTTTTGTTTTAATGAATAGAAAATTGACTAAGTGAAAGAATAAGAGACGGAGATGAATGCAATGTTTCAAGCTTCTTTTAGTCAACATAATGTTCCAATTGGTATGAATTCAATTTTTTCCATTTCATTTTTCCAATTTGTTAATTAGGATTAGGGTATACTATAGTTGTACTTTTTTATTTATAATTTTTTCATATTTAATAGTATTATCTGTGGTGGGCTACACTTTATTGATATTCACTGATGTATGTATGTATTGTTTCAGGTGAAAAAACTCTAGGACTCGATTCTGAATATTTTTGGTGAAACTTCTTCAATTATGGTAATTTTGTTTGGTTTTTGGGTAACATGTGTGAGGGTGTTATGTGTATGTATGCTTGTGGCTTTATGCGTCTATGCGTGTATATATATATATATATAAGACATAGAGTATATTGCTATTTTCTACATTTAGCTTAATCATGGCCTCAAGGTAAGACATGGCAAAGTACTTTATGTATCCGTTGGTTCTCTTTAAGAAAGATTTTCAAATTTTCAAATTTTCCAACCTAAAGTTTACTCCAAAATCATAGAAATACCTTCACTTTCTTCTTAATTGCATGATGTGTGCATCTGTACGGTCAACATGTTATTTTGATTAAATTTGTTACCATTTTTTATTATTATTGTAATATTTCTTCATTGATAGTATAGTCAGGTCCAATTTGCGATATATTCACGAACATGAAGCAGGTGACACACAAGTACATGCCTAAATGCTCATTTCTGTAGGATATTGTAAGAGAAATGGTTGTGTTAATTCTGTTTTTGCATGTTAATAGCATTGCACTTTGACTTTTGTTTTTTATTTTTACAGAAATAATGAAAATTTGATTTTTTTCCATTTAAAAAAAATGTCTTATTGACCTACTTTTTTTTCAAAAGAGAAAAAGTTTGTATTCTTGACCTACTTTTATTTGCTACAAATGGAATGTGTGTGTGTGTGTGTGTTTGCATGTCATTTTCTTAGTTTAACACCAGGTTGGGAGTTTATTCACTCCAGGGGCAAATTTGGCATTTTTATTATTTTTTTGTTGTTATAGATACAGGGGTAAAAATTCAGTGTGTTTTGTAAATTTTTACAAATTAGTTGATGGATCTACAGCTTTGTTTTTTATAAAATGGGACAGAAATTAGATTTTTCTTGACATGATTGTGATTGTACTGTTATCATTTTTCTTGACAGAAATGTGAGATTTAGTATGAATTGTTTTGAAATAAGTCATTTACTACAAGAAATTCAAAGGTTTTTTGACTGGGTTGTGAAATGCTTTATAAAACAAAGGTTTTGAATTGTGTTAGACATTGAATTTATTTGATGTTTATACATGTAAAGGGTATTATCATCAAATGGTCCATCTTACAAAATACATGTCTACTTAGCGGTTCAAGTGTTGTCTTTAAAAATAAAAAAACCAACAAGCGTGAATTATATCATAATCAAATTAAAGAATGATATGTGTTCATTATTTTAATTACATTTGAATATCAAATGCATCGAAATATAAAATTAGAATAGACAAATATGCCCTCCTTAATATCACTCTTTTTTGATAAAAAAAAATTATGTGCAAAGTAACTATTAACTTGAGAGAATTGGTAGCATAATTTTTGAAAGTTTAAAACATCAAAGAAGTTGGAATATATAAAAATCGTAATCTATCTTCCGTTTGTCGACTGTAAATGTAATTAATTTGATTGATAAAAAAATGATTAAATGGATGTTTCTATTTATTGGATTTATCCATTTTGGGTTAAATGTGAGAAATAATAATTTCGTAGAAGTGTTACTGGTATGTGTGTGTGGCTAAACAAAATGGCTTAGATTGAGTAAATTGAGATGCACAATTTATGATAATGTTTTTTTTACTAGCATTACTGATAAACATGTGCACTTGTTGAACAAATTGTTGTTTTTTTGGGTTGATAAAAGAAGAAATATATAATGAATATCACCAAAGGGTTTATGTCCAAAATAAAGATACAAAAGAAAAAATCTTCAAAAATGGTCCCGGTTTCCAGGAATATCAAGTTCAGTCGGTATTTTTTTATAATTAATAATATCACCCCACATATTTTTCCCGCAGCCACAAAGAAACTATTGGCCGCTTGTCGCTTTTCACAAAAATTTAATTGTCTCTAGAAACTAATTTATGAAAGAATCTACCCGCACCCGTCGCTTGGCGCAGGTAAACGGCTAGTATATATATATATATATATATATATATATATATATATATATATATATATATATATATATATGTATATATATATGTATATATATGGTATAGTGAGATAACTCACCTGAACAATTACTCCGACGATTGACAACTATCTGAGTGATTATACTGGCAATCCAACTAACTGATAACGTGCTTTACAAGTATTAACCTATAATACTATAACTTATTTACCTATGGAAATCTTGTATTGAAAACTAGATCTTTTAATAATCCCAATGAATATCGAGAGTTCTACCAAATAAGGATCAACCAGGTTGGACAGTTGGGAGGCAAGACCATTTCGGCATACCGTCTTTCTGAAATCTAGCAACCAAGACAACATGATCATTCTAGACGCCTTTCACGTAAGTAGATCGATCAATATTATAATTGTAATTACTGATAACTCTTATTTATGTATCCATAACAATGACTATGAATATAAATATAAGTTACACTATAAGTGTAACACTCCAAAAATCAAAGAAATTTAAAATTTTCAAAATCAACCATTAAAAAATATTGTTTACAAAAAGAGTCATTGTTTCAAAAGCATTATTTCAAAATCGGAGTTCTCCCAAGACCCGGTGACATAAAACAGGAAGACGTGCACGATCACACATTTGCTTTCCCACTATCCTCAAAAGTACCTGAAACAATAAACTAAAAATTGTAATCCAAAGCTTAGTGAGTTCCCCCAATGTACCAACACACACATACGTATAACAATATATACTGGGTCCACAACTAAAAAGATTGGATTACCCCTGAGCCCACAATATGAGTCTGGCATTCCTATCTGGCACTCAGCTCGTATTTGGATTGCTCCCGAGCCCACATCATAAGTCTAACTTGCCCTCGGGGGCCACATCTCATGTATAGATTGCTTTCAAGCCCACATCATACGCATGGCTTGCCCTCGGGGACCACAACTTATATCTGGATTGTTGACAGGTTTGTTGGCTTCCGCACAAAGCCATACAACCTCAACCCAACCATACTATGTCGACATATGCATAAAAGGTAAACATATACCAGCAAACAGATAAACATTCAGATCTTAACAGATCACTATAGCATACCAACATCCTATAACAGGATACATAATTTGATGGCCCGACATTGGTGCTTTCGACCCGCAAGTACAGTGAGGAAAAACTCACATCTCAGACTAACGAATAGTTGAACAACACATACCAGCTCTACAGGTAACGTAATCAACAAATAGAGACCAAGGCTTAACTATAGATCAGAATACCCAAAATACCCTTAAGTCAAACGTGGCCAGCCCTAGTCAAGGGTCCAAAAGTCAATAAGTCTTCACAGCGGATTACGCCCGACGTAATACAAGAGTACGCCCAATGTACTCTGATGTTGACCAAAAAGTGGGGCGTTGAGCGCATATGCGCAACGTACCTCCAGGTATGCCCAACGTATGCTGCTCAGTCCCAAAACTCCATTAAGAGCTTAATACATTAAGCCCTTCCATCCAAAACTCATATCCAATCCCAAAATGATGTTCTAAGTCATAAAGTTTCCAACTTTATGACTTTGCATGGCTATAAAGTGTCCAATACCTAAA